CTATGAAAACAAGCCCCAAAGAAGCAACACATACATGATGTTCTGTAATTTGAAACCAAAACTAAGGCCTCAGGATGACTTTAAGACTTGAACATGGTCATTTTTGTTTTGTAACATTGAATACAAAATTTAAAAAAAAAAAAAAAAAAAAAAAAAAATCCCGATCCCCGATTGTTCTCTCCCAATTCCGATCTTTTGGAAATCACGTGATCGGCTCCGATCCCCGATCACGTGATCGGATCGGGACATCTCTAATATAGACAATCGTCTTAATGAAAGTAATTAACTGGAGACATGTCTTGCTGATATATTTAAGTTAAACAAATTACTCTATTCACCTGTAGTGTCTCGCCTTAAACATGTTTAATTCAATACACAGGTTTTTTTTGTCAGTCAAACATTTTCCTGCTTAATAGTATAATACATTTCTCAGCAAAGATGTGATGGCCAAATGGTAAACACTTCATGGCATGCTATAATGTGTTTTTTATGAATGTAATGAATGTGTAATGTGTTTCCTTTTGCTCACTTTAGATATTTACACAGCCGCTTTGAGCATTACTTAACTAGGACATTTGTAAATGTTAGCTTAACACTTGGAAACAGTTTTGCTAACGTTAAAGCTAGACTGTTAGCATCGCCAACAGAGAGAAAAGATATCGGTGTTGCTAGATCACGCTATAGTGTGTTACTGAACGCAGTTCTTGGAAGAAAAAGTACTTTTTTTTATGGTCATAATGTTCGGAAAATGTGTGACTTGTGAGAAAATTGTCAATTCTTAATTTCTCTGAGACCATGGGTGGGTCATAGTCATGAATTAATAGTTTTATGAGCTCGTACCCTAAAGGGCGTGGCTGTCGTCAATCCCGTGACACTGATACATGAAATTGACTCAGTGCGCCCTCTCCTGGCGTAAACTAATACAAAATAAACTAATTAATATGTTTTATTGTCATTACACAGTAGCTACAGTGTAGTTATGGCAATGACAATCTTAAATCCCAGGCTCCTTCAACAATGCAACATCAATATATATTTATTGCATAAACAATAAGAAATATTCAAGAAGAACAGAAATTGAAAAAATGGTGGTTCCATCTTTAGTCAGCAGACTCAAAAACGGGTTTATCTCCAGGCAGGTTGACACGTACGAGGAATTTGACTCGATGTCGTGGTGCATTCATAAAAGTAAAACAAGAATAAAAAACACAGAGCTATTATGAGAACTATAATAACATTAAAAGTGTATTAAAATAAGATAAGGCAATATTTACAATGTGATGGAATAAAATATGTGCAGTAATAATAAAAAAACAGATGTGTGCATTAATGTAATGCATAGAGTCTGCAGTGATGGTTGTATTTCATTATATGTTGCATTGTTGGAGGAGCTCAGGTCAGAATAATTGAATTGCCATTTCTAAACTGCAGTGATGGCTGCTCGATTATGGCAAATCATAATCACGATTATTTTGGTCAATAATTGATATTAAATACGATTGTTGATTGACTTTGAAAACATCCATTTATTTAATTTTTTACAGTGTGTTTTTAACAGTTGAATACCCTGAACTTTAAGTATAATTCAACTGAAAACATATATATAAATATGATAACTAATGTCACTCACAACCTGTAATGTTTAATCTGCTACAGCAGTACTCTTATTTTGGTAACCCCTTACCCGGAAACCGGAAGTAGCTAAGAGGCTCCGGCTTGACGAGGTTAGTGAAAGTTGACTGTACGCTAGAGACCGGAGAATAAAGACACGGCAACTAAAGCTTCCCTTGTAACGTGTTTATATGGATTTATTAAACAGACTGCAAGTCACAACACAACCTGGCCGAGAGGGCTTTTAGGGAGGGGGGGGCAGCGCACGCAGGATATATAACGCTAGACAAATTGAGAGCATCATTGCGAAAGGGAATGCAGCAAAATAATCGTTTTATTTAGTTTACGTTGCTTTCGAAATCGTTGCAAGCCAAAGTCGAGACTCAAATACGATTTAGTTGCACAGCCCTACACTGGAGCTTTGTGCATATAACAATAAAACCTTTGAATCTTTGGTTGATGGTGTCCTGTGTTTTGTCTCCTCAGCACACCATGCTGCAGCTCATCAAGGAGGCGCTGGGTCAGAACGGAGTGACGCCCCGGGACGACTCCCCCGTCACGGAGGTCCTGAACCAGGTGTGCCCCTCCAGCTGGAGAGGAGCCTGCAAGACGGCGGTGCAGCTGCTGTTCGCCCAGGCCGGGCTGGTGAGTACAAGACGTGATCCAGAGAAAAGAAGATCTGTGGTTATTACTGGAAATCTGTCAGAGATCCACACACCTGGGATTTAATGTGACTTCGGTTCTTGTAGAAATATATATATGTATTTTTATTAATACTCTTTATTGATTTTCACACATTTAACACAACATACAGAACAATGCACCNTTGAAACCAAAACTAAGGCCTCAGGATGACTTTAAGACTTGAACATGGTCTTTTTTAATACTTTTTTTAAATTTTGTATTCAATGTTACAAAACAAAAATGACCATGTTCAAGTCTTAAAGTCATCCTGAGGCCTTAGTTTTGGTTTCAAATTACAGAACATCATGTATGTGTTGCTTCTTTGGGGCTTGTTTTCATAGACCTGGTTGCTTATTTCTCTCAAATCTGGCAACAGAGTGGGCAGGGCGCAGTGTCTAATTGTAGCAGTAAGCTAACGAGTACTGAAAGCTTTATTTTGTTTTGATCCAATGCTGCACAACTGAACTGATCCAATGCTGCTGTGAAAGAAAGAAGCTATATCCATGTTGGATAGAATATCCAATTTAAATAAAAAAATAACCTTAAGGGACAACTTGAATGCTTTTTTCTCTTTAATGCATTGCATAAAGATCGGATCGGGAAAAATCGGTATCGGTAAATTGTCAAAATCAAATGATCGGAAGCAAAAAAAAGGTGATCGGGACATCCCTAGTCTATATCAAATATGCAAATTACCCATTATCTAATTAAATATGCGCATATCTTTTGACATTTCAGGAACACAAATCTGAACATTGGATAAAGTCAGGTTCAAAATGCTTGCTTCCTTTTGTAGTGTACTAGAATCTAACGTTTCTACAGAAGGGATTTTGGATATCTCTTTTTATCACTCCATAAATCAGAAAATACTGTCAACAGCCGTAAAATATAAATTACATAAATACCTACACGGTAGAATTAGTATGAAGTTTTAAATGGAGTGGAGTCCGTACCGTTTTCAGTTTGAGGTTTTCAGCCGCGGACTCGTTGAAGGACACTCCTTTGAGGAAGTGAGAGCCGATCTGCACGGGGATGGTGGGCAGCTCGCACTGGATTGGCTGAGAGGTGGTCTGCATCCGGCCCGCCTGCTGAGCCTCCGCCTCACTGCAGCAGCTCTGCACACACACAGCATGTAAACATACACACACCAGTGCAAAACACACACAAAAACATTGACACAAGGAGCCACTAAAGAAGAATTGTTTAACATTGAAATGAAGAAAAAAGTGGAAAATGAAAAACTGAATTAGAAGATGAATAGGTCAACATTTCAAGAATTAATAAATGGTACATGGCACACTATTACATCATTGTCAATTATCCTGCCGTAGTAATCATTCTATCAATCTTAAGGCGGTGGACAGGTCAAAACCGGTCATTTTGAGTTTGAGCTGCTTTGCTTACATTTCAGAGGAGAGAAAATAAACACCTCAATGTGAATTTTAAAGAACTTACTAATTGGGACTATAGATGTCTGCTAAATTCTCCAACGGTTAGCATCCGATAACACATTATAAGCATATTTAAACAGTTCAGAAAACAAAAACAATTGTCTTAATGAACTGGTTATATGTACACGTAACGTCCTAACCCTATTCACCTGCAATATATCCCCTTGGAAGAGCACTCACCTGTAAGGCCGCCTCCACAGCTTTGGGGTTCAGATGGAAGCCGGCCTTCAGAGCGTACTCGCTGTGACCCAGACTCTCTAGAGCTGCTTTATAGGCCTGGAGAGGAAAACATCACTTCATTAAAGACACAGTCTACTTCCACCCTCTTTACTAAATCTAAATGCATTTACTTGAGGAAATATAAATAAAAAGTTGTTTTACAAGGTCTCCTATCATGCAAAGTGCACTTTTTGATGTCTTTCATAAATATGTGTCCCCGGTGTGTCGGGATAGGGATGGGTACCGAGCCCCGGTATTAAACGGGCCCCGGGGCTGCATTATTAAAGACAGTGGTACCGTTAAGCTCCGACGTTATCGATACTGGAGACATCTAAAGAATATATGTCATATGTATTATTGTGTCGCCAACTCCGTTTCTAATACGCAAAAAGACTGCAAAACGCGGTTCATAAAGTCAAGTACCCCTCAAAAGGTCCGGTTTATTTCATTTTAAGGATGCGCACCAAGCAACATCTCCAGGTGCTCCTTTGAGAACCAGGGCAAACAAGTGAAGTGCACCCCTGAATATATGCCTAAAAATAGAACAATAGGAGGCCTTTGAGTGGATGTCCGTCTTAATTCAAGATGTCCACAGCTACACGTGGTGTTTTGTATCACACTGCACCTGCAAAGCGTTGTCGATCTTCATGTTGAGCTCCTTCAGCTGGTGCTCGGGGATGTTGGTGTTGTTGGAGCAGAAGAGATGCTGCACCTGGAGGCCGGCCAGGCAGCCGTCACGCCCCCTCTCTCTCAGCCGGGACATGGCCTGAGGAACGCAGAGCACCAGGTTATTATTATGTATTCATTTCAACAAGGACCACGCATTAGGGGTGGGGGAAATAATCGATACGGCATACGGACGCCAAGTATCGATATGTTATTATATAAACTGTGGCATATCCCTCCGAAAGATGGTCGTACATTTGACATGTAGCGCATCGTAGAAACGCAATTATCACATTATGGCATGCCATGAAGTGTTCACCATTTGGTAGCACTGGCAATCACATCTTTGCTGAGAAATGTATTATACTATACAGGTGAATAGGGTAATTGTTTTAACTTAAAGATATCAGCAAGACATGTCTCCAGTTAATTACTTCAATAAGACCATTGTTTTTTGTATAACAAGTTTTCTGAAATAGCATGTTTAAATATGCAAATGAGCCATAATCTCATTAAATATGAACATATTTTTGGTCGTGCATTTGACATGTAGCATATCGTAGAATCGCAATACTATCGTATCGTGGCTTAAGTATCGTGAGGAGTCCGGTGATTCCCACCCCTACCATGCATACAAAAACATTAATCTCAGAAAATAGAAGAGATTAATTATGCCAGATTTAAGCTAATAGCTCATTTCCATCTGCAGTCCTTAGGTACATAATCAACCAACACTAAAAACATTGCATCATCTCTATCACTCAAACAGTTATAAAACTTGATTTAAGTACGGGTCAAAAACATAATACATAGTACAGTTAAAATTGAAATGTAATTAATGTTGGCATGACTGGTTGCTTGAGAATGAGTTAAAGTCAGCACAGCTTAGAGATACTGTGGGAATACAGTAATACGACACAATCCCACACAGAAAGGCAAGAAATAAGTACAACGAATAGTTATTCTCCTTAATGATAAGTTTCCAAAAATATTTACTGGATTTATAGATTTTTCTAGATTATTCAAATAACCATACATCTATTAAATACAGAAAAACAACCCTCCAAGTTTCTCTTGGTCCAAGGTCTTTCAATGGGTGTTTCTCAATGTCGAGGAAGGCTGCTCCAGAGCCACTATTTCAAGGAATCCCCACAATGCTTTGCGCATGCACCAATTTCCCAAATCTTTAGCGGAAATTGCGCTCCATTTTAGGCGGGGCCTCGCATATGACGCACACCTGCACACCTGTTCCACCATTCTTCGTTTTCCGAGGCGAGGAAGGATTCTTGCCTCGCTTATTATGTCTTCATAAGCCTAACCCAACCCTAACCAACATTGAGAAACACCCAATGTCTTGTTTTGTCAGACCAAAACCTACAGATATTCAGTTTAATATGATAAACTGAGAAAAGCTCAAACGTAACCGTCATTATTTGGGAGGCTGGAAAACGCATTTTCTGCAATTTCTGCCCAAAAAGATTAGGATTAATCAAACAAACGTTATTTCTGTCGATCGGCTTATCATTGCAGCTCTACAAGAAGAATTTGAGAATGATTGGATTGCACTTTAAAATTAGGTCACAATCATTTTGAAGTGTTTGTCTGTGTACGTGTCGAACTAATAAAGAGGCGAAATCCCTCCATGGGACCTTATTTCGGAAAAAGTATGTATTGAAGTCAATGGAGAGCGAAAGATTATCTTTCGATCCCGTTTGAATTGTGCACATATTACAATACACATATGATGTTTGTCCATTTAAAAGATAATTTTGCAAGTTAAAAAAATAAAAATGTGTCCTAAAATTGTGAAGTAACAATTTTTGTTGGGAAACCGCTCAATGAACTACATCTCCCGTCTCGCACCACACACCAAGAGGCCGTCACGTTGGCACATTTCACTTCTTTCTTTCAGAATGAGGCGAAAAGTATTAAAAGAGTTGAAAATCACTCCAAGTCTGGGCACGTTGAGAGCTGTACACACACACAAGGGGAGTTAGTCGGTTCCGTAAGAGCCAGCATG